ATGGTAAGCCACTTAATTGAGCTATAATTTGTGGGCAGGTCGCTTCTGAATAAGAGCTGTATAGCTCAGGAGGCTTTACCTGGTTAAATAGTTTTCGTTTTTAATATACATATGTACCTACCATCTGCTACTGAGGTTTCCGTGTCATTCCTCCATCCATTCAGCCTTGTTGAGAAACAATGTAAAGCCAGGCTAGATATACCCACTCAACATTGTGGGCCCTTTCAAAGCCAAACAAAGGCCAAGTGTGCATATCAACCGTTCTTCCCCACTAATTTACACGTTGAATGAGCGCGATGTGCATCTGTAGTAGGCATCGCCAACACGGCATGATGCATGGCGGCACAATGAGACTTCCAGTCGCGGACGCTTGATGAAAATTTAAATAGTGTGGCAGGTGTTGGCATTTTGACACGGTGAGAGGTGATTCCCGTTGGTAATTACCAACGCAGCAAGCAACTGTAGACATCGCTATGTGATGTGCAATCGCAACGATGAGTCTTGCTGTTGTTTTAAAAACACTTATGTACTTTAACGTATATATTTTTCGCGACCAATATTATCCACAAAAGAGGTTTTTGGGGTTAGATCACGTAAATATAAATGTATCGTTAAACCCGCCACCACCCGATACAGCCGGTATGTTGTGGGTTTTACTCTTCAACACACCGGTGTTGCTGTACTAGTAACGAATTGGTATGTTTTGTTTACGTGACAAACCTTACTAATTGGCTGTGTCGGGTGGTGGCGGGTTTAAGGACACATTTATATATTTATGCGATCTTTCCCCAAAACCCTGTATTATGGACTTGTGTACTTTACAGTTGTTGGCAAGCTGGAACCTAGCAAATGAGTAATGCACATTCGTGTGTTAGTGAAGTAACCAAAGATCTCTTAATATCAGGCGGGAGGTGTAGACATCATGATTCATAAATATTGATAAGTGCTTGGCATTGTTTATGCATATCCGCAGCAGAAAATCCTATAAATATGCAAAATCCTCATAAATAATAACGTGCGTCATTATTTTTTTATGGTTTAATTAACACTAAAAGGCAATATAAAACAATGAATTATCCACAAGCTCTCCATTATAAAACATATGTCTTGGTGCAAGAGAGACATATCTTTATATTCTACATTTTTTAAAAGTAAATGCGTTAATGATGTAACAGAATCTGCATTGTGTAGTTAATTTTATCTTCAACACTCCACGGAAGATGTTTACAGCTGATATTTATAACGTTAATGTAAAAAAACATAGTTAATTAAATTGGGTAAACAAGCACAAATATTCCCTATTTATTATGCATTGATTGGTTTCGGAATACCACAGAGCATTCGTAGGATATGTGTAATTATCTCCTTGGTTCTTTCGGTAAAGTCACGTAGAATGGAAATAAAATAATAAAAAGTAAAACACAAAGCGAAATATTTATTTATTATATTTATTTTTAATTTTATTTTTAATTTAATTTTATTATGTTTTATTTTTATTATTTTATTTCCATTCTACGTGACTTCACTGAAAGAACCAAGAAGATGAATCCCTGCAGTCACAAAAGCTTAAAATCGAAATGTGTAATTAGTTGGGAAATGTGAGTCCAGTTTGGGGTGACAGTGTTGTATACTTATGAGTAATTCCCAAACATCAAGTGTGGCTCATGTGGTGACTGAATAGTGGACATTAAATATACATACAATCAATATATTGACTACTTTAACATTGACTTAGCATTACCTTGACGGGGTTTGATGTAAAAAAATTCACCCTGGATGTCTTCTATGAATAGTGTCAAAGGATGTGGGATGTGTCTAAACTCATACACACGTAATCCATGACCGGGGCATACATCTAGAGCCTGGCTATAAGCTCTGAGAAAACAAAAAAAACTCCAAAGACACCTCTCTATTTGTTCACCTCTACATTGCTTACACATATATAGCGACAACAAGTCGAAATATAAATTCAATGTGGACGTATTATAATGTAGTGACATTGCAGACGTCACTGTGTAATGCCGGCCCTTGAGAGGCACGGCGTGCGCTGACTGACAGCGCCGGATGGCACCACACTCTGCGTGCAGTGCCGACCCCTACAGGATAGGGCGTGAGAGTGCCGGCCATGGGAATGGGGTTACTAAGAACCATGGCACTCTGGTTGACCCCGAAGGACACGTGACCGGTAAAGTATACACAGGGCCCCCAGGTGGAGGCCAGGGGTGGTCACGTGTCAGGGTCGAGATCCTGCTCGAGGATTCTAGAAGGTTGTCGTGGCTAAGGGCGGGGCCAGCCCCGCCACGGAGGATATAAGCCGGGTCCCCGAGAGGGACCGGCTGCTGGTGTTAATCCTGAAGAATCTACGTTCTACGTCCTACAAGAGTCTCCAACACGTGGACCTGGACCCAAGCTGTGGCCCGGTCCATTGTAGCTAGTCACGGTGTAATTAGTGCAGTTAGCCTGGTGGTCCACCACCATAGAGTACGTCTGTTGAATCCACTACAATAATGAAAATAATTAAACAGAAAAGAGATTTAAATGTCAGCCAAGGCAATCGTGCCATGAGGTCTGGCATATAAGTGGGCTAGCTATCACGAGTACCATCCGACACGCGAAGAGGGTGGATGCCGCCCCGTGAGATCTGTAGCACTTGCCAGTCATTCTTTATCCCGAGCCACGAATGCAAAAAAACATTTCCCCCCCCACCCTGTACGGAAATAGCAGCCTATTTTGCAACTGGGACTCCACACTCAGTCGTCTGTTTATCAAGACCCGACTAAAATTAGAAGCAAATCGTCCCCTGTAGTAGTAGTAGTAAAAAAGCTCGGGTGTGCGGAAAAGATCTAGCCTCTGAAGTAACGTCTTGGGTGTCGCTGACGTCACTGGCAGATCAGCGGACTCGCATCAGCAAGGCCAGCTATATTTGCACCCTTTCATCAGCGCGGAGGCAGACTTTCTCTTTTTTTCCATCCCAAGTTTGGGATTCATGACTGAAGGTGGGGGGGGGGGGGGCAAGCGGCCATCTGTGCAAACAGCTGTGGCCACCGTGGGTTTCCAAAGGTTCATTCATCAGGATTGTGTTGTTGCAGAAATACACGTGTGGAAATCCGTATGCCTGGACTTTTAAAGATTTCGTACAATAACGTAGCAACCACCCCACCCTTCCCACCCAGTCTGTGCAATGTTGTCTTTGTTCATAATATCGGTTTTTTGGGTTAGATCCCGTAAGTATGAATGTGTAGTAACCCGCCACCACTCATCACAGCCAACCAGTAAGGTTTGTGACGTAAACAAAACGTGCCAATTAGTTACTACTTCAGCCCACCGATGTGTTGGAGAGTAAGCCACAACATTTATAATTTGAGTACGACGTTTTGCTGGTAATTATACATCCAGCATCATAGGGCGATTTGCCAGATTTGTGAAGAGATCCAAATGCTTAAATAGAGCAAGATGGCATCGTCACTCTGACCCAAACAAGTGCGGAGATCAGAGGGGGAAGGGGGGTTATTGTAATTATATAACAATATATTGTTAATTACAGTTGATAAGCAAGTGTTGCCTTTACAAGGCATACAATTGTAAAGTGTGTTACTTATAATACGCTTCCAGACCACACTAAATATTTAATGTTCTAAATAAACACTCTTTTTTAACTGGGGGCATTTTCATTGCATTCTGTATACGTGCATTTATTCCATGAAGGAACATATTCAATTAGCGTGAGAGCAAAAAAATATTATCATCCTAACTACCCCTATCCCATTTAATTTATGTTGTGTGATAGGTCTCCAAGATGGAAAATCATTGCTCGGACTTAGGGCATTCAACAGAATTACAACTGCCACAGAAGGGATGGAGACACGTTATTAATCCTACTTAATCTTCTTTGGTTCTTTCGGTAAAGTCACGTAGAATGAGAATAAAATAATAAAATAAAATAACAATAAAATTCTCACGACGTTTCGGCCACAACGCAAGTGGCCTTCTTCAGGTGAAAGGAACAAACCTGTCGGGACGACAGAGCTTCAAGCTCTGTCGTCCGACAGGTTTGTTGAAGCGGGCCACTTGTGTTGTGGCCGAAACGTCGTGAGAATTTTATTGTGTTATTTTATTTTATTATTTTATTCTCATTCTACGTGACTTTACCAAAAGAACCAAAGAAGATGAATCCTTGCAGTCACGAAAGCTTTAAATCGAAATCCTACTTAACATTGTTTTAATTAAATATGTACTAGATCATGAATAACAGTCAGCTGGACTTTCTTGTTTGCTTGCCTCTAATTTAGCCAAACGAGGCTTGGTTTTGGTCGCAACGTGTAGGAACTGAAAATATCCTTCACTTACTTTTGCATCACCATTTCCATCAGAGTAAAGTATTAAATACTTTTTATATGTATGTTGAACTTCTTTCACACTGTACGTAGCCAACTAAACACAAAAAATCAGTTCTAACGAAATTAGTTTTCAATCTAGATTTAAAAGTGCATTATAGCTGCCAGTGGCTTCCTAATATTGGATGGAAGAGCGATCCAGACGGCCGCAGAAGCACATCTGAAAGTGCCAGGATGCAGTGACCGTCTTAGTTCGATGGCTAGCCAAAAGCCGCTGCTGCTGCTGCTGCTGCTGCTACCAGGATAACCGGAGTTCTCGTGATGAGGACACTTCAACAACAACAGTCAATAAAAAAACTACCCACGTACTCCACTTCACTTACCCGGTTCACAATACCGAACAACTCTCAGATGGGGTTTCCGGTTGTACCGCCTTTTTTGTTGGGCGCGCTGTCCGACGTTTTCACTCCGCGTACTGCGATCTTCTCCAGGAAACCGAATTAATGTCAAGAAGCTCCCAGCACAGTGGACCCTGTGCTGAACGTCACGCGGCGCGACCCGGAAGTGCATCGGAGAGCCGTCGCGGCACAGCCGTGCAAACCCACGCGGTGAGAGAAGCCTCAGTTGAAATAGAGAAGCAAGCCGAGGAGTTCAGAGACAACTCACCTGCGCCTGCGTACTGCTGCCCTCTCCGCTGCCCGCCATCGGCTTTTGCTGCTGGGCCGCCGTCATCTCCGCCATCCGCCTCTCCATTTGCTCCAGTCGCTCCAGGATGGACATCCTGAACTGATTGTCTGCAGCACCACAAACGCACACGGCGCAATGGATGCAGCGGCGTTCAGCGCAATGTCAGCAATGTTTAGCATTTCACGGGCAATGCTGGATTCTAATACATAAAACCGGGAATGTTCCCAAGCAACGCAAAACTATTGTTTTCGTGAGCAAGGTGGATCACCCGCAGCTATCCGTGCTACGCTAGCATTTATTAATGCATTCCTAGGGTTTAGTTTGCACGAGGGTTGGTGGTCATTTACAGATGCAATTGAATTTGGGAATGCACAAACATTTGCATGCACATAACAGGTCCCCTGAGGGCAACTGACAAGTGGGTGAGACAGAATGGTCAATCGCTTTTCTCTCATGACAGATTCCAGCCCCTGGACTAGCACCATTGTCATAATATTGATATGGTACGAACAATAAAATGTTGGTTGGAAAAACAACACAAATGAAAAATAATCACAAAATAAATAGGATCAAAGGTATTTTCAAGGCACTGTGATTTAATTATAAACAAAACATGTACACGTGAATGGTTAATATTAGAGAACAGGTTATTGGATCTTTTTTTGTAAAATAGCCATCCTTGTATTCTCATGGAGCGATTAAAATCATCCTCGTGCAGGTGCTCGGCAGGCTGTTACATGACATAACTGTAATAGACAGCAATTCAAATGTTAAACTATTTTATTTTACCAGGTAAGGCCTACTGAGACATCCAGCTCCTTTTCATTGATAGCTCAATGAAGTGGCTTATCACGTGGAAATTTATAGCAGCCAAATGCTCTAAACGCACAAAGATTCTAAATGTGGAGGGAAAAACCGGAGGACTCAGAGAAAAATCCACGTGACCACGGGGAAACATGCAAACTCCAAATATACAGGCGTCAGGGTCGGGATTGAACCTACGACTTCCTGTATACCAGGCGAGGTAGTTAACATAATGCCACCGTGGCACCAGTGGCGACTTAGAAGAGGCTTTCGACCAGCAGTGGATTGATCATGGCTACTGCTGATGATGATCAAATGAGAAGTTGTTGTGCTGCACAGTGACTGGCCCTTGTCATGAACTAGGATGTGTGATGCTATAGACGTGTTAAGCCAGGGATGAACTGTGAAGTCAATTGGGACACATTTGACGCACATCAACTCATGAAAGGGATCAAATAAGGAAGGCGAGCGGATGGGGGCAGCAGAGATTAACATCGTGTGGTCATCACATTGGCAAAGATGACAGGCTTTTCAAATTTATGCACAGGTGCAAATGTGTAGACAAAAACTTTTTATGAGCGTTAGCAAAACATCAACGTTTTTGCGCGCGAGGTAGCTGTGATTAATATTAAAACGGTAACAGAAATCAGCAGGTGTGCTATTTCATGACTCGGAAATTCAACGGTTGACAGTTTATTAGCTACCTGCAGACAGCCTAAAATATATCACTGGAAACAAAATAATACATATTTTGGATGATTTATTTTACACGAATAGTACTCAAAGCTGCTGTAGTGAGATAGAAAAAACAACAGGGTTTTCACAGCAGCTGATTAAAAAACACGAGCTCAATACCTTGGTCAATAGCCCCTAATGAGGCCTCATGTAGGCTTATTGTCGATTTTCATTGTGGGTTTGCTAAACCATTAGATATTTAGGTGCTAAATCAGCATCAAACTAAGACAGCCTGCAAAGATAGAGTTCAGTTTTATCAGATTTGTTTTACCCATAAAATTATTAACCTTAAGATAGTGTGACAAATGGTTTCCACATCACCGAGTTTCCTTCCAGATCAATAATTCACTTACGTTTTCTTTTTGGGTGTACATAAAATGGTTATCCAATACACAAGTGCAACGCTAACAATTGCTATAGTTGTAGAGAAACTGACCATAATAGGCGAATTCACTTGCATGGATTTTTTTTAGAGATGTAAACACTTTTTTGTGACCAAAGCTGAATGCAAACTTCAGCCAATTGGAATGGGAGCACACATGGGAAGCTGTTAGCCCAGCGATGCAAAGTGAACGTTAGAATCGTCTGGAACATCACAAAGGCTGTCCTCCTCTGTGCAGTCTGGAAAACTGGAAGGACCAGCAAGGAGATGACACTCGGTCAGATTAAATAGACGATGAAACGTCTGGGAATAGTGTATCTGAATTGGGGAATGAAGGATGTAACTTTGGAAGGATGGATAGGAAGAGTAGTAATGGGGCATTTTCGAGCATAGAAGGGGCACGTTATTATTGTTGGAGGGAGAACCCGGTAAGGAAGGAGACTTGAAAACACCTGGCAAGCTCTGTTGCAGGATGACTAGAAATTTGGAAGAGGGCACGTGGAAAGGAGGAGGTCGTGAAGGTGGTGCCCTAGAGTGCTGTGAGAACACTGTGAAGAATAAACTATTTACAAAATGGGACCTTTTTTTCCAGTATCAAAAGGTCCCATTTTGTAGCTGCTCACCCCGAGCTGTAAATGCTTCTCTCACAGTGCATTGACCTTGTACTGTTCGCCTTTTCGCGTTCTCTGGTCTAACACTGTTTGAGACGAGACCCTAAAGAAGGCTGTCTCTGCGGTAGGCCAATCAGTTTCAAAGACAATGCAGATAAAATTAGCAGAGGATGTTTGTTTGCATGTTCACCACAAGTACTGTATGTGGTTAATGCGAACTTGATGCCTTGCAAAAGGTTTTTGTTTGGTGTGTGAACATCTTAACACCAGTTTTATTGACAGAAAGGGTAAAACCTATTCTTATTTTTCATGATAAACTATTTGTTGGAATAAAAACTTTGGGGGTTGGGGGGAAATTTATTTTTAAATAAAAGCTGCTTTTCGAATTTTCTGAAATGATATCCTATTTGCTTTTCTGGCCCCCTAAGCACGAGAGACACATTCTCCATAGTAGATTCCTCGAATAGAAAAGCCACATGTTAAACACCAATACCTTTGATACAGAATAAAACAATGCAAAATAACATGATCTGTTGAAAAAGTATGAAGAGGTGCAGCTAAAGTGGGCGACAAATACATCTATTTGCAGTTTACACCCAAACAATGTCACACATAAACACAGGTTAAACTTTAAGCTTACACACCTAGCAACAAAAAGTTATATAAATGTGTTATTGGGTGAAAACAACACAAACGTGACATCCCTCTGGTGTGCAACTATCCAAATCGTTTCAACATTGCTCTTACCGAGCAAATGAATGAGTAGCTTTGTCTTTGCTTACAATAAAAACTGTACCTTAAGTTCAAAAGCAAACATCCTTACGAGCGAGGGTAACACGCATGACATTGCACCGAGTCCGTCCGTGAAACGTGCTGAGATGAGACGACGCCTCGCGAGGTTGGCATTGGATTGAGGAAATGAAGGTACTGTAGGTGAGGGTCTATCCCAGTTCGCAAAGTAAGTTCATAATACAGGTTTTCTTTTGGGTTGGATCGCGTAAATATGTCGTTAAACCCACCATCACCCGACACAGCCAATTAGTCAGGTTTGTCACGTAAATCACTATTTAAGTTTGGTGACCCCCCCCCAAACTAAGTTCGCTTGGGCAGGGCACGTCGCGAGAAGGGACGGGGGGCGCTGGTGGGTGAAACTAGCAGCGGAGAGAAAGCCAAATGTTAAGGAATGCACGCAAAAAGAATCGACATCTGTAGAAATTGACTAAATGAGATCAACTTGTGTGCAGGAGCTACGTGGGATGGTTTGTATCACGGTTCTGATATAGTGACAGCTTTGGGAAGGCTTTCATCCAGCAGTGGATAGATCATGGCTGCTCCTGATGCTGAATATATAAACATAAAATATGGTGGTCAGAATGAATGGGGAACTGCTTCAAAACCAGTGACTTGCCATATTTGGGAAGCTGATTAAATTTTTGTATAGCTCACCGGATTTGAATACAGAGAAACCTGTCTGGTATTGGCCTAAAACTCACACGGATTAACCCAGATCCACTCAGAAATCACCAGATCCAACTGAATTCCGATGTGCTTTTGCAAACCATACCTTACTTCAAATCGCATTAAAATGCAGCACACTCAACAAAAGTGTCCTCTATCCGAAGTTAGATTTGAATGAAACTTTTGCTTAACAGAGAGGCGTTTAAGAATCCCGTGGAAGAAAAAAAACATCTGTTGAAAAACCACGAAGCAGTGTAGCTAAGTGGGTGATAAAATACATCTCTTTGCAGATGATACGCAACCAATTTCACACATGCACACAGGGTACACTTTACGCTAATGCAACTCGCAACATAAACCTACCGCGTGCATAAGTTTCGTTAATTGGCGACACTCTGCATCATTAACATTACGTGAGTATAAGTACACGGAGCGTTTAGGGATGAATGAACCCGTTGCTGCCAAATGGCTCATTACACAGCAACGGACGTCACAATTGATTTTGCAATCGGGCTTGTGTTACAGAAGGGTTGCTATGCTAATTACAAACGAATCCGTTTTGCAGGACTGCTCAAATGTAATCTCCATACATATAAAAGGCAAAGTTGTGATTATGTGTGTATGTTCAAAATGTTTAGCGTACTTCCCGACATGCAACAAACTTGAAATTTGCCATGTGCGTACTTTCCAGGCTGTACACTATGCAAAAATTATAAAAATACACTTTTTTGTGGGGGGGGGGAGGAGCTCAATAATGCATATTTTTTTTGCACGGCAAGTGAGCTGTGACGTCAAATCTGTCATGTGACCTGCGCATGTGGAAGCGTAACGCATTGAAGTGTAGCGATTAGTGCGCTGCGCTACGAACCCGGCCACCCGAGTTGGATTCCCGCTCACGGCCACCACCAGTGACGATTATTTCAACTGCTCCTGGGCCTCCCCTAGGTCGACTCAGCCTCAAACGAGTAACTGCTATGGTGTGTGAACATCGCCACTGGGGAGACAAAGGCGGCCGCGCATGGTGGATCCAAGTCCCGGGCGAAGCCGGGTAGTACAGCTAGTGCTTAATATGTGGCAGTTCAGAGTCACGATGGTAAATTAATTAGGACTGGGTAAA